AGGTTGTCATCTAAGTGAACCTTTTTATGTAAAAAGATATATTTTATTATCTCCATCTCTTTAAAAGTAAGATGTGTATATCCTTCATCTTCTCCATCCTCTTATAGTAGTAGCCTATACATTTTTCGATCCATTATATATAGTAGGATATATTCTTCATTTTATAAAAGACTGTCTGTTTATCCTTCGATTCTTCCTTTCCACTTTTAAAAGGTGCGTGTTTAGATCCTTCAGGATGTATAGGATCACAACTTTTTTTTAAGAATAAGAGGGTCTAAAGGATAAAGAATATTTATCGAGTTATACGCGGCATAACTTGAAATTTCATCACTGCTCATATATATATATATATTTTCTTTTTTGCATGACTCATGTTGATTTAGTGTTATTTTTTCCGCATCTTTATTAACTTATGAACACCCACAAGCCTTTAAAATAACAAAACAAACATATTAAATTACTATGGTTGTGAACAAGGCTTTTCTTCCCATTAACAATGTTGTTTTTATGTATTAAAGAAGGAAAAACTCTTATAAAAATCTTCTCGTCATAAAACTAAACCTATTTGACACCAGTAAATGTATAAAAGTATCGAAAATTTCAAGTAAATACTAAGAGTATTCTAATATAACACAGGCACAGTTACTGTTATAATATCAGAAATTCCTTTGTTTTTTATGATTTTGAGGTTCCGAAATCTTATAAATCTTTATAAATTATGTGAACGAAAGTCTGATAAAATACAAATAATAATAATAAGAAGAAGAATAATCTTATAAATTGTTTAGTCATTATCTGTAATGATGATAAAATTATTAGAATGACGGAGCGAATCTTTGCAATTCTTCACAATGAAAGAGTATTTTTACATTTTTATATTTTACATAATTTACATGTATATAAAATTGAATATCATGTTTTATAAATCGCATGAAAGTAGATTAAAATATAGATATATATTCAACTATTCATCTACATTAGAAATATTTTATATTATGTTTTAAATTGGAAGTAAAAAAACGGTCTTTAATATAGATTCCGATGTGATTTAGTTTACTTATTCTCCAAGAAAATCGGTTTTTAATATTGATTTTTAAGTTTTATTTTGTAAACTTTGTTTAAAATAGTACACGTGCACCCATCATTAACAATGAAAGTAAAAACATACACGTATGAAACTAAATTAAAGTGATATATCAAGCGTGTAATAGGCTAAATTAAGTGAGGAATACATAAAAATTCATTTAAATATACAGAAGATATAATATTATAATTATTTAAAATTATTATACAGATTTAAAAAGCACGTTATTGAAGTTTACGACTCGTTTATTCTTTAGAAAATAATTGTAAAAAGTGAAATTATATACGAAATATTTATTTATTAACAACGTAAATACAATAAGAAGTTTACGTATTCTATTGTACGTAGAAGATGCCTCGAATAACAGACACTTTATGTTACAAGTAGAGATGGATTGAGAGAAAAAAATGATAAAAATATCTTTGATTTTATAAATGTTTTACGCCAATGTTAAAAGAAACAAATCAAACAATTTGAAAATTTGATCTATCGCTCGGCTTAAGAGATTTCTCAATAAATCACTTTCTAATGACAGCAAAGTATGTAGCGAATGTAATGAAATTATATCGAGAACAAGAATTCATATTTATAACGTAGTGTGAAACAGAATGGAAGAAACAAATGCTTCGACAGCTTTTTTGCCTGGGAAAATGTTTTTTCATCTTAGCTTTTTGGCATGTAGAAAGTGAATAATATAGTTGAAAAACGAGCGAAAGAAAAGTTTACGTTAGAAAATTCGCTTAACTTTTGAACTGAGAAGAAGTGATACATAACCTCAGTTATAAATACAGTTCTAAGCCAAGGACACAAGAATATGTTGGACCGGATAGCCCGAAGAATATTATAGATTGATTGAGGACATATGTCCTGTCATGCAGGTATAATTATCTGAAAAAGACGGTGCAGAGTATAAATTGACATTCTAAATTATAGCAGGAATTTGTCACGTATCCTACATCATCCACTTATAGAATTGTAGTCAATAAGTTTTTCTTATTGGTAAAAAAATATATATATTTACCTATCTAACCGTATAGCGAATATACATAAAATAAACATTATAACATTTTAAATATATAGGATAGGAGTAAAATATAATTATACAAACATAAGAAAAGCGTTAATTAAATTCTTTACTATACGAGCAAAGTATGTATATATGTGTGTATTATTAAAAATATAAGAAATTTTATAAGGATAAAGAGACTAAATTAGCATATCTAGAATTTTATATAATAGAAGAAACAGACAGATAAGAGCAGGAAAAATAGAAAGATAAGAGGCAAACAAGAGATATAACAAGGCAATAACAAGAGTGACCAGCACTGGTAAAGTAAAATAAAATTTGAGACATTTATTTTGTTACTAATGATATATTACGAATAAAAAGTATACTATGGGCCTTATAAATAGCTTTTTAAAGAAACGAATTAAAATGAAATCAAGCGGGCAACTTATTAATAAAAGTGGCGTTTTAATCAAGCGCTATTAAATATTATAAGAATGTAACTTATGTAGAATTAATTAGAATAGAGTAATATTTTTCTAACATAAAGGAATAAGATTTTTATTATAAAAGCACGCGGTAAATTATTTAGTAATGTGTGACATTTCGTGCGTTTACTTATTTAATAAGCGTAACTGGGATTTAAATAGCTTTAAAGCGCTTATCGTCGGTGTTAAACTGCATTGGAAAATGATGCAGATTTCGGCTACTAGATGTCACTGGTCGCCCACGCCATGTTGTTGTGAGCGAGCAGCACACCACCGATCGAGCTGTTTTGGCGCCCATTGTGCGTTCAGTCCTAGGTTAAGAATAAGGGGGACACTGTACCTGACGGCTTCATTACTCTGCTATTCATCAGCTTGTAAGACTCGACTTGTGTTGAAGCGTCTGCTGTTGTGTTGTGTCTTGGTCGTCAACATCGTTGTAGTCATTCGGTAACAGCTACTTGTACAGGCTGTGTTGTGTGAGTTGAGCTGTCCGACAAGCCAAGCAACTCCAAGCTCAGGGATACGTCAAAGGTACGTTAGCATTTAAGTGTGTACATTAGTTTTTCCGATGGCTTAACACGATTCGGATGGAGTAGGGTTTTTAGTTAAGCATGACACGGCCCTGCCGTGTGCTTAGTGTGCTGTCACGTCGGGTCGGCGTAGTACGCTGGTACTAACGCCATTTCGCAAACTCCGACGTTCTAAATTAGTCATAAATGCGCTACTAAATTGGAGTGCGTTGCTAACCACGTGAGATAATACCTAGGAGGTCCATCTGCACCTCGGGGAGTCCAATGTAATCGCGACAGAAACCCCCGGGCTATTATGACATCTGGTCGTGTAAGTCGGCTTGTTAAATCGTAAATGTTTATTAAGAAAACAAATCGTAGCGAAACTTTTATCCGGCGGCCCGCTCGAAATTGGCGAATGTATCGAATTTTAAGTGACAAGTAATAAAATAGAGTTATTCATTCTGTTTTCCCTTCAAACATTCGCATTTACTTGAGTAAAGAACGGCTATGCTTTATTGCTTTAGTTGTAAGTTCCCACATGAAACCATCTCTTCTATTACTACCGTGTCCCAAAGAACATATTTCTGTAGATGACCAGTTTTCTCGTGTTACTCTATGTTTACGATTTTGGCTTTACGTCTAGTGATGTTTTCCAATTTTCCAGAGAGATGTCCAGGGACATATGAGTCCCTGTTTGTGTCTTACATATGTATTCATATACCTACATCTGTACCGATGCATTCTCACTGATAGAAAACATTGAAATATAAATGTATTCTATATAGATATGTTTCTATACGTTTTTCCGATTTTCGCTCCATTAATATAGGCGCACAAACAATGACACCGAGCTGTCCGACTTCCATTAAAGCAATATTATTCCCTCGGAACACACAATGAGTCGTACAAACAATTAAAATCGTCTCTCGGGATGCTGTACGCGGCCCGTGGTCACGTGACAACCCCCTGCCATCCCTTCTCCCCCGTGTTTCCTTTTTTGGAACAGGCTACTCCGCTAGATCGGTTTAATCGGCGGGTGTTAATTTTTGATCCCCGTTTGTTTTTTTTTTTATTAATAAAATACGGATGGAGTTAATAAGGCGAAGTTTGAAATTTATTTTCATGGCTTTTACCGGACCGATAAAAATCATTTCGGCGTTTAAATCGATAAAAATAGCTACACGCGATAATGCCGCGAGTTTTATCAACTATTAGTAACGTTATTATCCATTACTCATCTCGTAGTCGCTAGCAAAACACCGACTACTGCTCGCTTGTCATAAGCAATCATCTCTTATGTCCGTAGTGCACTCCGCATGATTGCTTGTTGTCTATATTTCCGATCCCATTCGCCATCCACCTTCCCTCCCTTGGAAGAATGAGTCACTTACTAATGAAGGGTCCGGACTGTGGAGCCACTGCTCGCAGCTGTTGCCTTTGTCCCGGCCTTTTCTGAAGGGGGTCAGGGCTAGCTAGCCCTTTAGGCGAACAAATTCTGCTACATAAAACTCAGCAACGTTTGACGTCCAGGAAAAACTATTCCGACCAAATTAAGGTATAATTTTCTTTAAACGCTTATTAAGATTTTGTCGTGTGCACGCAACCGGCGTTAATTATTAAATAGGGACAACACGGCTTAACACCTAAGAAGTGTTTTATTTGGCAACACGTTAGTTAACTTTGCTTACGTTTCTTTGTCGGGGCTTTTGTTATTACTAGTTTTTCTTTTCCTGCCCACTTGTTTATGTTTTTTAATTGTTTTCCCTCGTCTATCTGGTGTTGATTTTTTCCGCACTGCATTGTGGGTACGGAGAACCTAGGCTAGCCTTGACAGCAAAAAGGCCTTGCTGTTATAGAAACCAGTTTTACAATTAGCAGAAAAGCAGAGGTCAGGCAAAGAAATGTCGTTACAACCGAACGGCTATCTTCTGTGTACAAGTAATTTGCCTTGAATTTTTTTTTCTTCTCCTAATTAAATATTCTTTAAAATTATTTTCTAATTTGATTAGTGTCGAGACAGGCAAAACGCTCTAATATATACGAAATTCATCGAAACTTGTATTGATGTAATGGCTTAGTGCCAAAGCGTTCAAAAACTACATCATTGATTAGCTAATTAATTTTATTTAAATCGAGATAATTTATGCAAAATATATTTATAATAATATATATATTTTTATATATAATTATTTAGCCAATGGTTCGTTAATAATAATAATAATAAAAGAAGATTAAAAATGATTAATCAACGTGGCCATTAAGGTTAAAAGAGGGAAGAGGAAAAGAAGAAAAAGACTATTGGTTAGAAATCGAATTAGTTGACGGATGAGTAATGGTGTTTATACAATTCATTTATAATTTTAATAAAAGTTTAAATTAAAATTTTTAAAATGAAAAATATAATTTTATAAAAGGCAAATGATGAATGTTATTTTGCATTTTAAAAGTCTGGCAAACGACAAGAATTTATTTATTACGTCCTTTTTAAGGAAGAAGGTGTGTATTTTTATTGTGTTGGATTGACTAATTGATTAGAGTGGGACTTAATAGAAAAAGCGAAGATTAAAAGTATTGGTTTGGCATTTCTAAACGGATGTGTTAGTAGTAAAGTGGATATGCTAATCGAGTTATTGCAGACGCAAAGGTTTGAACCTTGGCGATTAGCCTGACTGCATCCGAGTCGAGAAAATTGATTCCTTCTCTTTTCATATCAGACTCGGTAGATGCACCAATTTGACTGGTCGCACTCAGATTAACTTCTCTGTGCAGGTTGCTTTTCTCTAAACACTCTTGCCGAATTTTATGATGTCAACAGAGTCGAAAGTTCTGATTTATTGTATTCGACGCATAATAAATTTCCTCCGTTAAATTTTACATTTTAAATGCTGGATATGTGCGCGCGCGCGTGGACTAAGATTTTTGACGTTTTAACATTGGCGGCAATGCTATTTTACTGCCCTTCTTAATGGCTTCTGTTCGTCCAGTATTAAAAGCTGATTGTAAACTGCTTTCGGCTTGGTATCTTGTCGAAATTATGGGCTTGTTTGAATCCGATATGTATTTTATCGTGGGAGGGATATACTTTTCCAACCCCCTTTTATAGAAATTATAGCTTAAAAGGGAATTTTTGGAGTGAAAATCGAATGAGTCGGGAGGCGGAGGGAAAGAGGAAGAAAAAAAAAATTTACAATATCGTTAGAATGTAATTTTCGCACGCTACTTAATGACTAAAAATTGCGCGATCGTATTTCCGATACGTGTATCGTTTATCTGATACGTGGTTATTAACTCTAACCGTCTGGACGTTCGGCATTTTTAACAGCCTGGGCTTTCCTAACCCGAATCCTGGTAAGAAACCGCTTGTTTGGTGAGTCGACAAAAACACTACCCGAAAGGCAGTTATCCTCAGCACGTGCGATTAGAGGACACGCGAAGGTCAGTGTCCAGCTCGCCGTCACGTGACTGCCGGCCATCATTTTGGCGGAGATACTTTTGTGAATGCTTTTGATAGGAAAGCGGAGCTTTGATTAAAAGATTAGCGGCCCATTGTAGCTTCGAAAATGGGCAAGGTCAGAATGGGGCATACGGAGGGTAAGAGTCTGTGCCAAAAGTATGTGCTTATTTCCTTCCCTCGGGTGATAAGCTTTTTTTTTTATTATTATTATTATTTCTTTCTTTAAACTCCGGGGTAGTGGCATTTCCTTACAACCAATTTACCTTATAATTGACACTAAGACAGGTGATAGACAGCGATTTGTAGCACTGTCATTAGTAGATAGTTGCCTTTAAAGCTACGGACCGGTTGTTAAGAGCTAGCGATAAATAACACCTTTCCGAACGTAAATGAATTTCGACATTATTAATTCGGGTGCTTTTATAAATTCCCGTCCTGCGGATCGTCACCAGATTGCAGGAACCTTTTGAACCCACCCACCTAATGAGCCACGGGGGTGCTTTTCGCCTATAAATCCCCATTTGCTCGACTCTCCTCCGTCTTTTTAAACGCCGAGTCTCTTCGGGGGGAGAGAAAATATTCAGAAAAGAAGAAGGGGGAGAAAAAAAACATAGTTATGCAGTCATGCTCTCGTAAACGACGTCTAATAAAACTGCAGCCATATTGGTTGCTATTGTATCCATCGAGTTTGTATCGACAACTGAAGTGCTTGTTGCCATGACGACACCCGCCATCTTGCAACCGCGTCCGTAATTGAACGCCACATCTACTCATACAGTTGGGTCCGTACATACAGATAAGTAAAAGTGGATCCATTGATGCCTTAACAAACACATTACAGCTCTGTCATTTCTTTCCTTTCTGCTATTTAATCAGCCATCCGCTTAAAAATAATAATGACGACAATTAAACAAATAAGATTCGTGTGAACTTTTTTTTTAACATCCGCAGCACGTTTTCTTCTACCAGAAAGTTACGAAAATCGGCTCGTGCGTTTCCTCCTCCCCCCATCCCTCTATTCGAACGGGACTCTCTCACCGTTAGCGTTATCGATATGGCTAACAACGAGTTGATAAACATAAATAGCGTGTTAATAGGCGGAGTGGCGAGATTTTGGCCCACGTTTGCCAGAATCTCCGAAGTATCACACGCTTACCTCTGACCTATACTGGCCGGCTTCTATTTTTGGTTTGATGTTAGTCAGTTAATTGTATTGTTAGTAGGGTTCCCAAGAGGAAAGGGGACTGCGCTTTTTATATACAATCCAGATAATAACGGTAGCACCACCGACATTTCGATGATGGTGTAATTTGTGAAAGTGCTATCCTTTAACAAACGACCCCGATGCTAACGTCTTACCAATCCGAGTTGAAAGCTCCTTATAAACCCTCTCTATAAACAAATCTGGCAGAGGGACGGATGCAAATAAAGTGAAAAAATCGCTCGACGATGCCTCTATAACCATGCGTAAAAACCCATACCTATATCTTTCTCTCTATATATATATACATACATACATATAAAGTTCTTTTTTCTTTTAATCAGTTAATGGAAGGCTCTACTCGCAATTAGATTTGTGATTATAGATATTATTCCATTGTACGAAATGCTAAAAACCTCTGGATCTAATTTATTCAGTTGCTACCATTTAGAAGATTAACATTGAAGATATGGGATCTATAAATTGATTCTTTTCAGCTATAAATGAAAACGATATCTTGAAATGCTGCAATCTCCTTTGACCCCTGCCTTAGCAAATTGGTCTTCCCGCTTGTAAGACATCCCTTTGATGGCATCCGTTGCTATAGTTACTATCACGTGGGGGGTAGGTAATACGTCACATTCGTCCGTTGGACGTTGATTGGCGACGACAGTTTGGAAGTGGTGCGTTTTAACGTAAGTTTTTATAAATTGTTTTGTGTTAATCTCAAAGGAAAAGTACGGGAGAACGTCTTTCGGAAATCTCATTTTTTCTTTTTTTTTCTTACTTTTTTCTATTTTTATATAGACTTTATATATATGGATAGATATAGATTTTCTATATAACAAGTCAACGTCTATGTTAACAAGTAGGGGAGTAGAAGTGGAGGAGGAGTGAAAAAAATATATAGTAAACGGCGTGTTTAAGGGCACAAAATCTAACTTTGGAAAATAATGATCATCTCTGTTTTCACTGGGAGTAGCCTTTGGGAATTTCGAGTCGAAAACGGATGAATCAACACGAAGCACCGAAACGAATTAATTTTTATTTTTAGGATAGTTTACATAATGTACTGATGTAATTTATCGACAAAAATATCACCCATTTTCCTCGTTTAGACGTCGCATAGTTGGAATTCGTTAAACGTGACAACCGAAGTCATGGTTTTCGTGTGGCCCTGGCCCCGGGGTATACGATGCCCTATAATCAACATAATAATAGTCTTGTTACCAGGATTTCTTTTCTTTCTTTTTTTTTCGGTGTTACGAGAAGGCGGTACTAGATTTGGGGTGAAATGTCATAACGTAGTTACCGTAGAAGACTTTAGGAAAGTTCGGACGTTGGCTCGCGATCTACCCGTCGAGAAGGTTGACTAAATCATATTTAAGAAGATAAAAATATGTTTTCATTAACCCGTAGTAGAGTGCAGACGACGTTCTTGATAAATTCTGCGATGATTGGTTTTTTAAAAAGACGATTTAATTTTAACGTGAAAGCAGTTTTCCCTCTCTTCTGCCTATATAACACGGAGATCGTGTTTGCTAATGCAGTGGAATTTCTTTTAATATATCAACACTTCGTATACAACATCAACGTTGGAAGCTGCTTGTTGGCAATGTGAGAGACTTTATCAAGCTATTGATTGGACACAGTTACTAATTAAAGGCAAACAAAATAAAACGTTCCGAGAAAATTACTTCTCGATTGCTCGAATTCTCATTTGCTTGCTTTTTTAATTTCATGCAAAAAGAAATTGCTTGCATAGCGTGTTGCATCAAACTTACATAAGTCGATCGGTATCATGGCGCATGCAGCAGCGCCAAATATGGCCTATTTTTAATAATTTAATTACGCCGCTGAAGGCGAAAATCTTTGCAGAAACACGTTAAATACGTCGTCG